CATACCAAGCTTTATTCAACTGAATTGTTATTTCTAATTAGACTTTTTATTTCCGTCAAAATACTTTGTTTTGTTGCGAATCTCTCCTCCACCGTCGGTGAAGGGATTACTTCAGAAGGAAGAAAGCTTAATTTTTTTTTTTCAAAATCAAAGAATTATTTTCAAAACTTTAGAGCATCCACTAATCCATGATGGTGGATTGAAATTCAGCACATCTCTTCAAATACCACTTCATTTTCACTCCAATTACTACGCTCATTTTAATTTATTGACTTTTTTCTTATATTCATACTATTTATTAAAAAAAATTGATGAGAACCACAATTGTCCCAAAAAATAAAGAAAAAAAAAAGATGCCGGTCTCTTATTGGAGACTCCCTTCAATGGAGGAGTCTCTTAAGAAGGACGTGTTCCCGTTGGAGATGCCATAATGATACCATATATTCATATTAACGAGGTAATTATTACATTGTGTTTTTAGTAGTAGTATTTGTTTAGGGGAGTAGAAATGAGAGTCCTGGCCTCCTGGGGCTCGTACCTTCACCAGTTCAACCTCATCAGATGTGATTTCGACCAAATCGAGAAATGAACCACTTGACCAGAAGCAAGGAAACCAGTAATGACGCCAGAATGAACGAACAATTCAAGTGCCGTGACATATTAGTGTCTAGGATTTACACATTAAAAAAGTGCCCGTGCAGTTTAAATTATATTTATCTATAATATTTATTTTATTGAAAAATAGGGAAGTGCTTCCTTTTTTTTTTTTTTTTTTTTGGTCTTTTAAAACATTGTAAAACTTTTAAAGAGTTTATATTTTATTATTTAAATTATATTAAATTACAAGATATAAATTTTTAATTAAAAATTTATATTTTATATTATGATATTAATACTAAGCGACTCGTAAAATACTTTTTAAAATTTTAACGAGTCTAACCTCACTCAATCCAATTTCCGAGATAACAGTCTGCAGAAAACGTCGTCAGTAAGAGGGTAAAAACGACAAAAATCAGCGCACCCTAGCAGGGAGAGTGCAGGATAAAATCATTTTGAAAATTTGAATTTCTAGAATGTGCTAAAAGTCGAAAAACATGCCATCGGATTCCGGGCGAGTGGTCAGCAGATTTGGCTTTCGGCGAAGGAGAGGATAAATGCAAATAGTAATAAATCAAATATTTACACTTTCGACACCTGTTAAGATGCCATTAATTATGCTTTAGTCCGTTGAAAATTATCGTCTTGCAATTAAGTCTATCTTGGCCTTTATTACACCGGAAGCTTCGAGTCGCTGCATTCTGGCCTTTATCCGGTGGTTGGAGTTTTTAACGTGTTCCAATCTGATTGACCGGTTCCTCTTTCGCTCGTTCTACAGAAACAAGATGTCGTATTTTCAAGGTGGATAAATTTTGTCCACCAAATTGTAAGATGTTGAAAATTTGAGCAACTGTCATTTTTTCTTGGACCACTCAACCACGACAAGAGTCAAGACCAAGCGATAAAGCAAATTGAATGAGGCTCAGAGTCTCATATACAACTACAAATGCATACAACATTTAAGAGGTTTTGCTTTCAACCCTTCAATTGTTTGCCGGGGTGGGGATGATAAAAGTAGGGAGAGAGAGAGACATGTTGCCAAAATTCATTCCGTTGGGATAGAAATGCCAACTACAAAATGGACAAAACTTCATTTCCAAGTCATATTATATTACCTTTCACCAAACTCTTCGCATATCTTTTACCTGTAAATCTTGGATCACACATCCAAATTTGTGTGACATCAAACCCCACCACCTGATTGCTTCATAGCAACGTAAACCAGTTAGAAAACCGGTATTCCGGCTGTCTGGCCACCGTTAAACCAGGGATAATAATACGTTGAGAGGAACAGACAGGACACTAGAGTGAATGCTTATCTTAACATCAGACGATGCCAATAATAAAATAGACTTACTTCATAGAATGTGAAGAGGAGAAGACTATATAAAAGATGATTAATTCTTGCAAGCAATTATAAAATAGAGCATAGTTTTCTGCTAAAGCCTAACCTTATGCGGCTCGAGAGCGCACGAGTCTGCTCTTTTTATCATGAACTTCTGTTTCATCTGCTTCCTTTATCAAAAAAGAACATATAAAATAAGAAATGGTGCAGAATTTGCAGATTAAAAGTGGAAATGGAACAAGAAGGTGCAGGATGAAGAAGTTACCTCTCTCTTTCAATTCCACGCCACTTTGTCTAAGAGCTCCACTGCACTTGATCAAATTTAATAAACCACAAGGAGAATAAATGAGGACATCAGATGAACAAACAGAATTTCCAGAAGAACATCTTTGAAAGCTATTATTCGAATAATTTTTATTCATATTAGTAAAATCAGATCAACCCTTACGTAAAAAACAGAAGGGGATTAAAAACTTATGCCATATTAGCTACTCTAAAAACCCACAAAAAGGCAGGGCAGAAACAAGACTTAAAAATATATCAAAAACTCAAAATTTAGTGGCTAAATCTAGTCATTTTCAATGACTGATGCCAAGCCAGTTACGATCTTAATTCCAGTGGATAAACTCCTGGGCTTAATCTCAAGTGGTTTCCATTCCTTCACCAAATTTTCTTTCTTATCTTCTTCCTCAACTGAGCTCTCAGACAGAGCAAAAATGGAATCCTCCAACTGATCAGCACCGTCTATTGAGCCAATACCAGGAGTGGATTCGGAATCAGATTGCTCCTTTTCTTTAGTTTTGGGTTCTTGATGTGAGGTTAGAGACTTTGTGGGTGTAGGTGTGGGTGTGGGTGTGGATCGGGAGTGAGGAGTGAGCCACTTTGCTTTAACATAATCAACTTTTCTCCAGGGAGGAACGTGCATTCCTTTCTTCTTCAGGCTCTGTGTGGCTGCCTCACAGACTATGGTGATTATCTTCTGGAGACGATCGGCTTTGCCAACAAAGATGTAGGGAAGGGTTTGAAGGACTAATTTGTAGGTCTTGGTTGAACGAGCCATTTCAAATTCTGGTCTGAAATCGATATCAATCAACACACGCTCCCCTTCTATTAACACATCAATATATTCGTATTCTCCTGATATCAGAAGAAACCCAGTCATAATTCCACAACATCAAAGGCAAAAGTCATAATTCACCCTCTAATGATTTCTAATTTCTCAAGAAACAAACAGTAAGTTATCCAAAACAGATAATTCATTTCCAAGATAAAGCAGGTAAACTAAAACGATTATCCAATTCTTTTAAATTCCTGCAAATTTCTCACCAATCAATCAGAAAACAAAAGTTCTTTCCATCATCAACTGACACTTCTAATTACAGAACAAACCAAACAGAAACTAATAGATATTTTGGTATGATTAAGGAGGGAGAAAGAGTACCGGCAGGACATGAAGGGGATTTTTCCCAGCGAGATTTGCAGATTGAAGCGTCATATCCTAGAGCCGATAATCCGTCAGTAACAATCTTCCTGCAAAAATTGTCGTTACGCTTACAGATCTTGTTCTTCTCAACGATCCTGGCCGCGTCCGCCAGTAAATTCCTCTCACTCACAGTCGGGCAAGGCACCAAACCCTGTTACAGATAGGAAACCAATTTGGATTTGCCTTTTCAATTCTCACATTAAAATTCAAGTCCTCAAGGGTTTCCAAACAAACAGAAAATCTAACAATTAACAATACCTTGAGAATTTCAACAGTTTCGCCGGAAGAAGGAAGATTGGAGTCACCAAAACCAAAATCTAATTCATCTTCGGAGCTGTCGTTGCAGTTGCGATTGAAGCAGCACCGCGCCGCACCGGTTTGTGGCTTCTCATTGTTCTCCTCGATGAAGTTCTGCACCATCTTTGCCAAACAGACGGAGCTCGGCTCAAACTCAGAAGAAGCACCTTTGCCGAAATGTGGCTCCTCAACGGCGCCGGTCTTCTCCGCCATGGAATATCTCAGAACGCTATGGAACGGGCGCTCGAAGAGCCGCTTCAGCCGTGATTTCGCCACTGGTTTTACTGGCTCGAACCAGGCCGGCTCTTCAATCGTCTGGAAATCGATTGGCTGGATCTTCATTGGAAAAGGATCGTCAGCTGATCAACAACAACAACACCACCACCTCCGGTGCCCGCACAATACCTCCAGTTCACCGTTATCACGATTATCAATTTCAGTTCTCCATTTTCTCTTAAATTATACAGAATTCAGTAAAAAAA